GAGTCCTGTACCGGGAATGGGCTGGTTCAGGGCAAACTGAATCTTGGAAAGTCGGGAGGCAGCTGGTGGTTCCCCAGAGGTACCGCCACAAACTGTTGTTCTTGGCCCACGATATCCCCCTTTCGGGGCATCAGGGCATCCGGCGCACCAGGCAGAGGCTGCTGCAGAACTTTTACTGGCCCGGGGTCTTTGACGCTGTCCAACAGTATTGCAGGTCTTGTGACTCCTGCCAGATGGTGGGGAAGGCCCAGGATAAGTGTAAAGCCCCCTGAGACCTTTGCCCATCATAGAGGAGCCTTTCCAGAAGGTGGCCATGGATATAGTGGGGCCCCTCAGCAGGGTGACCCGGTCAGGGAAGAAATACATCCTGGTGGTGGTAGATTTTGCTACGCACTACCCCGAGGCGGTGGCCTTGTCCTCTATCGAGGCAGACACCGTGGCAGACGCGTGACAAAGCCCTGGCTGGGATGATTTAGTTGGGAATTGGTCCTGCTTTGAGCAGGGGGTTGGACTAGATGACCTCCTGAGGTCCCTTCCAACCCTAATATTCTATGATTCTATGATTACTTGCTGCTGCCTCAAACCAGCCACCAATCTGCTCCAGTGCCCCTTGCTGAAATAGCCCCTCGGAACAACGTACCAAGGGTGGGGATAGATTCTCCATCACTGCTTGGACGTGCCCCTAAAAGCTCCGCTCTAGGAAGTAATTGGGGGCAGGGCTCTGACCTGGTCAGACTGGATGGTCACAGCAATGGCTTCTGGCCTGGGGATCTAGCAAATGCCAACGCAGCGAAGTAAATGGCAACAGAAAACACAATAGTGGTAAAGAAACAGTGACGCTGGCCTGTCTCGGGGTGTCAATGCCAGGGACCTGCACGGCCGAAGCTGTGACTTTTACATCAACAGAAAAGGAGGCCTGTGGATTGAGCTGCATTGAATAGGATGGTTGGAACCAGGGAAATAAGCCACAGTTCCACCTAGAATAGAGATCCTCACTAATGGGTGTAATGTATTGGCCATCGAGTCTGCAGTTTCCCAGATGCCCCTAAGTGGAGTACTTATGTGGTGAGCTTTTCAGCCTAAAGGGTCCCAGTGTCTATTATAAGCTAAGGAGATCGGCGTCCTCATGGTGCCAGACGCTGCACAGACCACCAGCCAAGATCAGGGCCCCTGTTGTGGCAGGCGCTGCAAAGCCCCGACTGAGAATGGAGAGCCCATCGTGCTGGGCGCTGCGCAGACACTACACAAGTCCCTGCTCTGCAGAGCTCAGTCTGAATAAACCAAGGGTGGGAAGAAAGGAGGTATACCTCTACCCCGATATAACGCTGTCCTTGGGAGCCAAAAAAATCTTACCCTGTTATAGGTGAAACCGTGTTATATCAAACTTGCTTTGATCTGCCGGAGCGCGCAGCCCCGGCCCCCCGGAGCGCTGCTTTACCGTGTTATAGCCGAATTCGTGTTATATCAGGTCACGTTATATCGGGGTAGAGGTGTATAATGATTCCAGTTTTGAAAACGGAGATACAATTTCATCCGCTGCTAAAATGCAGCCACCTCTGGGCTTGTTAAACAGCTCACATCAAACACTTCCCAGCAGTTTCATACCAGGTGCAAAGACAAATTCTGCATCGGACGGAAGCAGCACCGAGATCGGAGCCAGGGGCATTACTTGGTGCGTAGGGCTCGACTCTGCTAAAGACAACGGCGTTTTTTCTGAAACCGACGGCTGCCAGGAGCAAGGGGAAGGCAATAAAGGAAAGGCCTGCATGACAAACACGCTACGGCATGAAATTAACCAGGTAGGAGCAATACAGCTCCTGCCAAAGGAGAGTAAGAAACACAGAACAGGGACCGTTTGCTACTAAAATCCAAATTTCCTCTGTGTTTACACAGCAGATATTGCTGCGCGGAGACCTTCAGAGCCGTTTGGGTTAGGAGAGCCGTTTTGTTCCAAGGGCGCTGAGAGCTTATGCACAGATCAGAACTGCAGGGCTCCCGTTCCCACCCACCGCCAGAGACGGGCTGTTCCTGCACTGGGATTTACTGAAGCTCCCGGTCAGCTGGGCCTCGTCCCACATGCCTGACTGCTGGACAGCAAATGGTGAGATCATGGGTCATTCTTTTCCCAGAACGAGCACGCTCCCGCTCACGGCATCTCCGTGCCTCTCCAGTTCTCTCACGCCCAGAACCTACAGTTCTACTACTGTGAACACCTCCCCTCTCCCTTGTATCTCTCTGGGCTCTCACACACACAGATTTTTCTAGCTTTCCTCTCCTCATACCACACACCTCCCTCTTTCCTCACATGCGCAGTCACACGCTCATGGGCTTTCTAGCTTTACAGAGACACACCCATAGTGTGTGTCTAACACACCGACCCCATCTCTCATTCTCCGAGTGAGGCCCGAGCACTGGCTCAGTTGTGGGTCTGATTCTCAGCTCCCCTCTCCCTGTGCTTGGGGAAGGAAAGGAGTTTGGTGGCTTGAAGTTCCCTTTGCGCTCCTGCATTCTGGGGCTGCCTGACCCCTGGTGTAAGTTAGAGCTGCTCTAACTCAAGCTCTGCCCCCTGGGAAGCAGAGAATAGCTGTAATGCAGCAAGCTCTGGTTGCTCTCCTGATTTTCCCCTCCACACCCGAGACTGGAAACAAGGCGGGTGCAGGGCCAGGAGGAAGGCCCCTTCCCAGCAGGGCTTGTCAGAGGACCCAGATCGGCCTAAAAGGGCCTTCAGAGAACAGAGTGAGCACAGCCCAGAGGCCAGTTATTGTCTTGAGCGGAGCTCAAAGGCAGGCTGAGCCGACGTGCCGCGGTCAAAGACTTCGGCGACTCAAAGAGGAATCACTCCGCTGTGAAAGCCTCTCAGAGCCCAGCCCCTGCAGCTGTTTGATCACTTATTAAATGGGTTAATAAATCATTAGGACAGAATTCAGAAGAACCCGACATGCGCCTGTACGCAGCCTCGCAATTCCAACCCAGCCGCCGAACAGTCAGGTTGGCCTGTGAAGCCATGTTCTCTTCCCGCCTTTCCCCATCACCTTTCCCAGAAGAGAGAAGTGCCGATTGCCCCAGGGCGATTCTATCAGTCCCTGGACTGGCAGTTCCCCCAAAGCTGGGGCAGATGCGCAACACCCACAAATTGATCGTGGACCCATCCCCAGGGGGGCCAACCCAGCCACCGCCCATTGCTCCAGAGAACGTCCGCCCACAAGAGAACTGCAAAGGTAGCGCTACTCATCTGCCAAAGTTTTCCCTTAATTCTCTAGTGCCCTCTGCTGTCTCTTTAGGATCCAACAGGAAGAAGTTTCCACTGGTTCTGAAAACTAAAGCGAGGTGAAATTTTACAGACATTTTCTTTCACCACCACCAACAAAAAATGCAGATTTGGATCGATGGAAACATTTTGCTAATTCGTGTTGCTAGGACCCTAAAATTGGGTCAAATTCGCCAAATCGCTTTGGTTGGGGAAAAAAATCGTCAGAAATTGAAACGTTGCACACCGCCATTTTCAATACCCATCATTTTGATTCAAAGAGGCTTTTGGTTAGAAATTGGCTTCAGTTTCATTTCGCTGTTTTTTTAAAGAGTGAAAAAAAGTAAAAACCAAACGTGGTTGTGGGTCAAAGGGAACGTTTTAATCCATCCACAAGGTTTTTTGGTTTGGCCCATGACCCAAAGTCGGCTGTTCGTTCAGGTCGGCGTAGAGGCACGAATGTCAGCGTGCAAGCTCTTTTCACTCTAGAGAGACAAATATTGTCTAGGAGTCAGGCCTGGCTGCTAGAGACTAACCGGATCTATCCCTTTCAATGCATGCTCTGGGCATGCCCCCTGAAGACCAGCACACACGCTGAAGTCTTACTTTTTGTCTAAGGAGCCATAAGTAATATGAAAGCAATGATTCTAGAGCACAGAATCAGCAGCTACTGACCTTCATGTACTACTGATCTCCATTCACGTTTCAGAATGGACAGAGGTAAACAGCGAGGTCCCCTAGGGATCTGTACTGGGACAGATGTACAAATGATCTGCAAAAAGGGGTAAACAGCGAGGTGGCAAAAATTGCAGACACAAAATTACTCAAAATAGTTAAGTCCAAAGCAGACTGGGAAGAGCTACAAAGGGAACCCACAAAACTGGGTGACTGGGCAACAAAATGGCAGATGACATTCAGTGTTGATAAATGCAAAGTAACGCACATTGGAAAACATCATCCCAACTATACGTATAAAATGATGGGGTCTAAATTATCTGTTACCACTCAAGAGAGAGATCTTGGAGTCATGGTGGAGAGTTCTCTGAAAACATCCCCTCCATGTGCAGCGGCAGTCAAAAAAGCGAACAGAATGTGAGGAACCATGAGGAAAGAGATGGATAAGAAGACAGTAAATATCATAACGCCTCTATATAAATCCATGGTACATCCCCACCTTGAATACTGCATGCAGTTCTGGTCATCCCATCTCAAAAAAAGATACATTAGAATTGGAAAAGGTTCAGAAAAGGGCAACAAAAACGATCAGGGGTATGGAACGGTTTCCGTATGAGGAGAGATTAAAAAGACTGAGACTATTCAGTTTTGAAAAGAGGCAACTAAGGGGGGATGTGAGAGAGGTCTGTCAAGTCATGAATGGGGTAGAGAAAGTGAATAGGGAAGTGTTATTTACTCCTTCATATAACACAAGAACCAGGGGTCACCAATGAAATGAACAGGCAGCAGGTTTAAAACAAACAAAAGGAAGTATTTCTTCACACAGCGCACAGTCAGCCTGTGGAACTCATTGTCAGGGGATGTTGTGAAGGCCAAAAGAATACTTGGGTTTAAAAAAGAACTAGATAAGTTCATAGAGGGTAGGTCCATCGATGGCTATTAGCCAAGATGGGCAGGGACCCCATGCTCTGAGTGTCCCTAAGACGCTGACTGTCAGAAGCTGGGACTGGATGACAGGGGCTGGATCACTCACTAATTGCCCTGTTCTGTTCATTCCCTCTGGGGCACCTGGCACCGGTCACTGTCGGCAGACAGGACACGGGGCTAGATGGACCTTTGGTCTGACCCAGTCTGGCTGTTCTTTAGAGCCAGGCCCGTGACTGAGAAACCCTCTTACACCTGTGTCCACCCTGGGCAACCTTTGGGGGAGAAACTGGCAGACGTGCCAAGGATCCTTGGATTTATGTCTCCTTCGAGAAACAGCACGTCCAGCAGAACAGCACCTCCTAGCATCGTGACGGACACCTGGGGCCAGAACTGACTCAGGAGGGCGGACGGGCACCCACCCTGCAGCACATCCCGCCCTTGCACCACACTGGGGCACTGTGATCAGCACGGCCTCCGAGGGGAGAGCGCCCCCTACTGCATCACCATTGCCACGTCCACTAGTGCACTGCTGTTCCCCCACCCGAACAAGGAGGTGGTTTCCTTTTGGATACAGCTCCTTTATACGGACCAGCCTTAGACTGGAACGCCCAACATCGGGCCAGCATGGCGACCGCGAGATAAGGGGAGCCAGTGGCTAACGGATCCCAGGAACAGCTCATCTGTGACTGGAAAACTCACAGAACTGATTTATTGAGCTCAGCACAGTTGGGCCATGAGCACAATTCTATTTCATTACCGGATTTTTTTTGTATTTCATCTCCCCCACACCCAGCGCCAGCTCCCAGACCGATCAGCCCCGGGAGCCCACTGAAACCGGAAGTCTCTTTGTTCAGATCATTGCTTTAAGGCTCCCTGAAGTGGCTGCCGCTCCTCCTTTTCTGCCCGCTCAATCTGCTCCTCTGTCAGAATGACGGGTTTGTATTTCTCATCAAAGAGTTTTTCGTTGTGGAGTGGAGGTTCCGGGAGGAGATGGTCCTGAGATGCTCAGGGAGATACTTGAATTCCTCTTCGTTGATGTCGGAATCCTTCATTTTCGAATTTAAAACCCACCAGCGGCCCAAGAACCCCACCTCCAGGATCCAGGCGGGAAAGTCCGTCCAGCGCGGCTTCAGGTGTTTGCAGTGAACCTGGTACAGAGCCACTTCCGCATCAAAGGGGGCCTGGTAGACGAGGGAGAAGAAGACCAGGCTCTGGTAGCGCAGCCGCCCCTGGTTCCGGAGCTTCATCAGGCGCTGGACGTGCCCCTCGGAGCTGCCGTTCCGGATCCAGGGGGATAGCAGGAGGAGGATGCCCGAGGCTTCGAGGAGGGAGGACTCGAACGAGGCATCGCAGGGGACGTGGAGGCTGCAGACGGTGGCTCCGGCCAGCAGCGAGAGGTAGAGTCCGGCTTTCCCAGGCCGCTCCTTGAAGCCAAGGGCCACATCCCGGCAGGCGTCGGCGTAATCCTGAAGGAGGCTCTTGCACCACAGACCTGCGCGGGGAGAGGAAGCTCAGGGGCTGCCGGCTCCAGGGAGCAAGGCCCGAA